TAGGACTGGATGATCTTTAAGATCCATTCCAATCCCTAAAACTGTGATTCTATGAATTTTCCCTCATCTGCCCTATCCCAAGGTTTCTGAGGGTCAGTTGCACACCTGGCCTAGCTGCAAACAATGAGTGCCAAACTGACCAACACCCTTGTCAGCTTCTGTTTGCTCTGATTGCCACAAGAAGACAAATTTTAGTTGCTCTCTAGCATGACATGCTCAATAATTCTGAGTTTAAAATAATAGTATTTGCTGTGATCTGCCATTCCATTTTCTCCTTTGGTATTCCATTAATACTGTTAAGTTCTTTCCTGTGCCGCCTTTTTCCAATAGCAGTGTAGAGCATTCAGCTCTTTCAAAAAATTTCAGTATATAAATACTGAATGTATAAATAGATATATGTTTATATATATATATGTGTGTGTATATATGCATATATAGGTAAATATATAAATGCTGTTGCTAAGAACACAAAATTCCACAAAATGTGGAAATCTACATTACTGGTAGAAAAAGCATAAAAATTATGTATAAAATAATTATGACAAGTGGTAGAAGGACAGATACACTAGGGAAGAGTTTAGTCTGAGATTCTGGTTTTTTCCTACCATTTTGATTGCACCATGTGAAAGTTGATCATTCTTGAGGGTTCTTTAGACGAAGTGTAGCAAAAACCCAAACCCAAACAACAAGAAATGCAACTCTGTAATAGTTTTGAAATGTAGTTTTGAAATGACAAGAGGGAAGACCTCTTCATCAAGGAAGGGAAAACCTGTAAACCACCATCCTGATTCATCACTCAGCACAGATATTTGATTAAATGGGGTTTTGCAGTTTACCAAACTGAAACTGTGGCAGGATGTGTTGTTGGGGGAGAGAAAAAAAACCCCACAACACATAAATATGTGTGTCAATATAAATGAGCAATTCTTTTTGCATGCATCCATGAGCCATTCAGGTAATTGAAAGTTGAGGATGTGCCTCCCTGAAGAAGATCCATCTCTCCTAAGACCTCACCTGAGGTTTCTTGAGGTCAGTTTTTTTCCTGAGCGTCCAAAGCGTTGCTGCTTCAAATTTAGGGACAGCTAATTGGAAACTTTTCTGGAAGTGTGGAGCACATCCCTGTGCTCCAAAACCACCTTGACAGCACATCATCCCCCACTGTCACTCTTCCTTCCTGCTTGTTTTTCCAGGTATGATGCTGTCCTCTGCATCCAACACTGCAGAGAATTGTTTCTAGGCAAACAACAGGAATTCAGTTGTTAACTCACTATTAACTCACAGTCAGGAGCTGTAAGTGCCTCTTCATAGCTCAGTTGCGAGTATTTTCCCCTTGGCTTTAGAGAGCTAAGTGTGGAGGGGCTGAGGTTTGTTTGAGAGGTCATGGGGAAGGCTGACAACCCCTAAATAAGGTAATTTTTATATGCTGGAGTGGCAGCATAAGGAGGGAGGTATTCTGCAAAGGAAAGGTAATAGATATTGCATAGTCTAACTTGTTAGGAGCAGCAGAAGTGCCTATCCATAATCCAGAAAAAGCATGGGCGCCTGACAGCCTATCTGCAGGACAATTAACTAGCTAAATGTGTGGCTTCAAAGCTACCAAAATTGTATTCTAGGTTTGATACTGCTTTGAAGTTAAAGCAACACTACAGCAGTTCAATTGGAATTTACATCTGAAATCAAACTGTGTAAAACAATTTGCCCATCGACTCTAATCCTAAGTAGGTCAGCAAAAATTTAGCTTTCTGAGATCATTTTCCTGAGGTCTGTCGTATAGGCAACCCTTAAGAATGGGATGTGCAAAGCACAGAAAGCCAAGCAGAGTATCAGCACCCGGACAGTACCAAGCACAAGGATAGAGCTCACACCCTCCTGTTTCTATGGGGTGTTGGGTACCACATTTGTGATCTCAAGGGAAGAACCAGGTAAGGGCCATGGCCTAAGATTATGACTAGTTCATCTTTCATTTCACAATAGAAAGCCCATAAATTGATAGTCAACCTTATTTTATGTGTGAGAAGACTCAACTTTCCACTCTTGCTCCAGCTGAGTGTTTAAATACATTTGTATGTAATGTTTTTATTTATTAGAACACAAACTCAGGTCCCTTCTCTGCTAGTAAAATGCCCCAACCCTCCCTCCTATGCAATAAACTGTCCTGGAAAAGTAGGATATCTTGACTGGTGGTGCTGAGAGCACATCCACATCAGTGTACCTCAAACTGTGTGGATTAAAGCACACCCTTGGGTAGGCACCACACATCACTTAGCACTGAGCCTAGGCCTCTCATATTCTGCACCAAAACCCTCCTGAGTGGAAGGCGACTGTATGCAACTTCCTTCTCCAGCTAAATCTAGATACCACTTCAGCAGCCATGCAAACACCCACTAAATCAGGTCATGCAGGAGAGGGAATAACCACAGGTTCTGCTTTTGAAAATGGCATTACAATACGTAGTCTGAAGAGGTTTTTCCGAAATTATAGGAGAGGAAAATACAATATATCATCAGAGACTGAAAACAGTCATTTCTTAAACTCCCCTAGCAATTTTCAGATAAGATTTCTAGCCTTTAGTCTCTTTGAAAATCAATTACCTTTGAAAAATTAGTGACAAAGAGAAACAGAAGACAATTCAAGGTAAGTCTATTGACAAAAGAGAAAAAAACCCAGGTGCTCAAACTATCTCACTGAAGACGAAATAGTGGAGGGTTCTTCTGGGTAAGAGGTACTAAATGAAGGCTAAAATGTCTCACCTCTGCAACAAATCACAGTTATGGAAAACTGAAAGGTGTTTGGTCCACCTATGAGGTGCAA